ACTACATGTTATAGCATTCAATGTTCGAACCTTGTGTCAGATAGAACTCTACGATCTCGCGTCATTGATGTATACTGCGTCCCCAAAACGCGTATGCGGGGTTCAAGTACGGTTATTCATTTGACCTTACGCTGTCAATATAAAGGACTCTCAAGACTTATTCTTCGAGCATCTAGAGACCCCACCGCTACTTCCTGTGATCTCGTTCGTGTAGGTATGGCATTGAGTTCCAAGACAGAACAGGCTATCGTATGAAACTAACCGACCTCCTGCAAAAAGCTAAACGCTTTGACGTAGTAAATGTGTCAGGTAATTTTGATGCTCCAGTAGATGAACTAAACTAAACTGACAGGTTCTTAGGTTGTTACAGCTCAGCGAACATATAATGGCAACCGTCTATTTCAATTATGCTTAAGTTACCGTCGATTTCTAGCAAACACCAAACTTAAACATATGGAGAAACATCGTCTGACCTGGCGACATTCACAATCGACTTATCTATGGACTCAAATAGATCGCATTGCCAATAGCTATCGTTGGGGTGGCTCGATTGAAGAATGTCTCACACTCTGGAGCACATATTTAGACTCTGATCACGCTCTAGGTAGAGCAGGTATTTGTCTGCATCTTACTGGAAGTAGAACAGTTACAGTCATGTGTATTTGAGTTTATGAATCGGGCTACCATATTAGTTGGTTAAAAAATGTTTTATTGGTCGATGAGTTATTACTTTTCATAATGTTATCCGGCTTTCAACTATTATCAAACTGAAATGAAACTTTTGTTCATTGTAATGATCATTGATATTTGCATCTAGGTTCTTCAACTAATTTCTGAACGTAAAAATATTTGTTCAAATATACATTTACCAGCTCAATCAGGCAGTAGTGTTGTTCTGGAAAATATGAGAAGAGGTTATACTAGACAAGCCTACATAGAGTTAGTGAACACTATTCACGAAATAGTTCCAAGTTAGTATCTCTTATTTAGTTCATTTATAAATTTAAATTACTGTAATTATGAGTTTTTTATCGTCCAGTTTAAGTTAATAAGTTGGTGTACCAAGAAAAATTATATTATGCGCTTACGCTTAATCCCATTTGGATCTTTTAATACCATTGAGCTAATAAAATAATTGTCACTTACTAGATTAGAAAAACTGACTGAAAGAGATTTAAAATCATTTATTCAAGAAAGTACTAGTCAGAACACAACTAGTTTTCTTAGCAAACAAATTTCTTTAGAGCATCCAAATCTATTTAAGGACTAAAACTAGTGTGGCATTGTTACAAGAACGTGAAAGGAACAACTTACGCTTAAAATCCCCTAAATAAAATGGATTAGACTTCTCCAAACGTACAATTTTTTAATGAAAACAAATAAATGCTAACAATCCACAAACCTCTAATAGTAAAGTATACAGGAGTCAGTTATTCTACCAAAAGCTACAAAATCGCATTTTTTTACTTTAAATCAGTGAGTAAACTTGCGGAGAATTCTATATCACAAATCTGTATGAAGCAGGAATATTAACAAATAGCTCATTATACTTGGTATTAAGTAGCTTTCTGTGAAACAGAAAGGGAGAAGCGAAAGGAAAACAAAGTTTATGAATATCGAAGAGATTTAATGAAGATTATCAGTAGTGATAATCAAGATTGCTGTCTGCAAATCCCATGCATTACATTTTAGACAGTCTTACTTTAGTGAGACAATATATGCACTGTCTCGTTCTTGCTTAATATACAAGCCCTGTGAGTCTTTATGCAATTCGCTCTCCCTAAAATTGTTTTCTGATTGGCCTTGTCCATTCCAAGTATCAATTTGGTTTTCTAATATTGCAATGAAGATCTTCACTCTATGAGTATTTGTACACACTCAAGCACCGTATTTATTTCCTTGTCGCAATCTAGTTAAATTGAGTGGCCGCTGAATGTTCTAGAAATAACTAAATGTGCCAGTTTTTTATGTGTTTGTATGAATCGTTTTCAAATACTCACATAGTTCATACCATTGTTGTCTTTTTTCCAGATGTTAGTCTTACAAGTGATTTTATCGCAGGATTTTGTGGTGAAACTGAAGAAGATCACTCTCAATCTCTTGAGCTCATTGAACGTGTTGGTTATTCGTTTTGTTTCTGTTTTCCGTACAGTATGCGTGAGGTATGCATCATCTCGACTGCTTTTGAAATTCCTTTTTTATTTATTTAGTGTCGATTAACCACTAGCTCTCTCTGCAATGAACCAGTCGATAAACGTTGAAGAGTTTAATGTACTAAATACTCGACCATATGCTAATAGCTTACTATATAAAGGGTAATAATACTATCTAGCTGCACAAATGGAAATCAATACAATAGGCTAGGTTCGGTTATTTTATTTAGAAAGTTATTTTCTAAGAACACCAAGGTGGAATAAGGACTTTTGGTAAATTCTTTAACTCACACTCTATTTGAATGCAAAAGTTCCTTCTACATGTCTATTCACATGAGAACACCTAAGTCATCGATAATTCATCATACTTTAAACACTATAAGCCAACTCGACATTATCGCATAACCACATTAAGTTTACTATAGTAAGATTCATGCACTAACTCCCATAAAAATCGGTCATTAGGCCTATTCATCGAATCATTTCAAAGCCGATCAATACTTCGTTTGATGATACTCGTGTTTACACGTAAGATCCGTTTGTTAAGACTGTGAACGTTAAGAGACTAGTGTCGGTAATATGCTGCGCATATTAAACCACTCGACATCCCATTAGTAACTAGCAGAGAAGCGGATTAAAAGAAATTTAAGGGGTAACCAAACAAGGACCTACCGCCAATCTGTAAACCCACTAAATGTTGATCAGTCTTGTTAAGAAGTACAAATTGTCCGCTTCATGACCATGTGGCGACCGTCAAAATTTGTTGGAGACACTAAGTGATATAGCTAGAAATGGATTGTAATTCCACAGATACATCTATCCTTTGCTTTGTTTTAATATTTCACACTTTTTTTATTCCTTGAATTCATCTGCTCTTTTTAAAAAATATCTACCCGCATTTAATTTGCATTATTATTAACTCGTTCTCTCTCGCTGGATGCTCCTTAGAATTACGGCGATTCAGACTAATGGACATTTATGATGAGTAAGTTTAAATGGCATTATGATCCACTTTATACGATTACGCATATCGTCCAGTATTCTAATGCTTGAAAGTAAGATCAATTTCACCACAGTATGTTCATTCAAACTATTAATATAAACAAATAAGTGTTTCTTGCTCGTTTCCTTGTACTCCTAATTTCATTATCTGTTGTATTTTGACTTCACTTTAGAAAACTTTTGCATATCATCATTTAACTGATGATGTACCAATTGAAGTGAAAAAACGACGACATGAAGAGTTATCAATGATATCTCGAAATAAAAGTTTAGAGTTTAATCAAAAACAAATTGGCACTATTCAAATTGTTTTAGTTGAAGGAGTAAGTTAACTAAAAAATGACACAATCACTAATTCGCGCCAAGGTGTTCATTCAGAAAAATTATTATTTGAAAAGGAAAAAGTATTTTGATCATCTCAAGATAAAACTTTTTAGTCAGCGCTAAATGCCAATTTCATTATTGAGTGAATAGTTCTTGTTATGATGAAGCTACTGCTCGTTACCGAATGGTCTCTTTGGACTTATCGATTGAGTATTTATCAATGCCCTCCCTTAAAAGATTCCAACTTATCATTTCAACACGTCTTATGAAACATCGTACTTGAGTGATGTATTTTGTAAAATCTTCTGAAAGAATGGGATTACCTAGCTGTTTTTATTTAAATAAATAGTGGTTCAAGACTATGAAGTTTTAGAAAGAAAGAATTCATATCTTGACTTATCCCTTTAGTGTGGACGAGACTGAAAAGGCATCACTACTCTTACATGTCTTTATTTTGTTATTCTGAATAATATTCCGAACCAATCTGTATCAAATGTTATAGCGTCGCATTTTCACATACTCCACTACATGACTTCGTAAAACTTTTCTATTAAAAACGCGGGAGGATATCTGGGATTTATGACTGATTACATATGCTAATTATAAATGAACTAAACACTGCAAATCATACCACTTATCGGATTTTTATTTACGGTTAATATGTTCGACAATACCCTTCTAGTACGACAACGGATTTGATGTGATTGGATAAATGAAATAACAAACACTCAATTATGCATCAAGATTCGCTCAACTGCACACAATAAGAAAAAATATTGGAGGAAACCTTTTTATCTCAAACAAACTAATCATTCGAGTAAATACCTAAGTATATAACATTTACATGATCTTCAATAAACTATGTAAGAATGGTACACTAAAATAAAGTTTAATACGAATAACCAATGATAAAAGAGGTCAATTATCATTTATCATAAACGGTCTTCACGATGTGATGTGACTACTAATCAGTAATAAATGACCGTTTGAAATGCTAATAGCATTGTTTTTCGAAGCCACCCCGACAAGAACCTCACCAACTAAACCTTACTAAAACGTGCTTATTTTACTAGTCATTGAGTAGCACTACTATTTGTCTTTAACCTAGGTTTGGAAATACATCACAAATGAATCTATAATTGTTGCTTCAAAATTAATATTAGCGCACCTCCTTGCAATCGAGACAAATGTCACGGACTGTTGCATCTTTTTGCAACTATCGTAGTGTTAATTGTATAAATATAGATAATTTTCCAAGTTCCTTAAATTAAAATATTACGCTTTATTAATTTTAGCCCAGTCGTCGTTCACCAACGCAAGTGTTTGGACGTAATGATTATAATACGAAGGTAATTTTCGACCAAAATGTTACACAAACACCAACTACTAAAAATCAAGATTCTTCGCATATATCATTCAAGCCTGGTGATTATGGGGTAATATATGGTATGTAGCTAAATGTAAGGTGTTTCCTATGTTGAGCGATACAGCATTAGAGATTGTTTATTGAATATCTGAGAAAAAATTCAAATGTTCAAGGTCAATTCAGGGTCATTTTGTTCTGTCATGAAGGTTTCACGGTTCTTCATATTTACTTATCGTTATTCGTATTTGTATTTAAGCTGCTACAAAGACTCACATAAGCTTTAATAATTTTCATCGTTGGCGTTGTTATTTCAAACATTTTACACAGTTGCCATACATAATTAAATATTAACCTATGACTAGCCAAATTAAATTTGCTTCTTAAACAGTCAGAATCAAGGAATTAGCTTCACATCATTAACAATGGTTTTAAAATAGGTTCAAAAAAATACTTTTTTCACAATTGGTTTGTAGCTAGGGTTTTCATTACGAGCTGATATCAAATATAATGTAGATGAGACATATTAGGCATTTAAAGCAGTACGTACGAGGTTCGTTTTCTTATCCGGACAATAACACTGAGGTTCATATACAACCAGCTGACGAGCATTTATTGAGGTGTGATACGTCCCTTGGTCCCCCTCTGCCATTATTGGCAGACAATTGTCCAACCGCGCTGTAATCTCACCATTGAACAAAAGACACATTTAACGACAGTTCTTTAAAAATACCAGTAAACTTAGAATTTGTGTTTAAGAAAGTTTGCTTTCAGTCCAGCTTTTACTTATGATACGAGATTTTCTATCTTATATGTGATTGATTCTCCCATTAGTTATAGCCTCTGCCGTATTTTTTTATTTTACTCCATACTGATTATTCAACATATGGGGCCAAGTCCAAAATGTGGTTTTGTACACATTATCCAAGTTCTATGTTAGTTAGTCTTTGATAGGAAGATGAATATAAGTCTGTTAATCATGCGTAATGAAGCTTATTTAACGGGTTTAATCTTCATCAGTGTAAGATTCGTGGAGACATTTTTGCGGTCAATATTTAAGACCCCACCGCTGAACGAACTCAAAACCTCCAGGTATTGTGATAAGCACTTATTCGCTATCTATGTTTAACTTCATTCAATTCGTTATGTAGCACAACTATTTAATCTTTAGTGGTTAACTGCCTCACACCAGACAGTTTGACTCCATTAGTGTTAAGTTCTAACTAGGACTCCATGATTTGCTTCTCAAAATAAATCGCTAGTAGGGGCATAATAATTACCAGTAATTGGTTTTGCAAAATGTTTTTGAATTTTATCGAGATCACTTTATTTCCAATACGATTTTAGTCGGGAATTTATGCTTTTCTTTTTCTAACTGATGATAATTAATTTCTTATGAACGTCCGTGCAAACTTAGTCTCAGTTTAGTTGCAAAATTCTTTGGTTGGATGCTAATAACTTTGACTTAAACCTCGATATTCAACTTGAATATCATATGATTATCAACTGCCATGCTAATTTACAAAGGTTTAATAAATCTTTTGAGTTGAGAGTACGAATGTAACAACAACCCACCTTGATAAATCATCAGTTATCTGCCTGAATTTGATGAAAATCCTTCCAGATTTCATATTCGTAATAGGGAATTTCATCCACTTAATATGTCTAAAAGTAGAGTGCAAAACAAATCATTTCAGATAGTTTTTGTTTCAAAACAAATGTATTACCAATCTTGCTGGGAATGTCAAATGTGTGTTACCCTCCAAATTCCAAAGCTTATAAAAGCTATCTAAGTAATCATGTCAATGATAGGCCTCTTTTGATACATTTCACTAATACTTTGTTTTGTCTTTCATGAATTTTACTATACTTTCCCTTGAAATTACCAAGACATTAGGAGTCATTCATGCCATTTTTTATTTTTGATTTGGAATAATTCTTCCCATTTATTTGTTTCAGTATCTTTTAATTTTTAATACTGTTAGTTTCGTATACGCCGCTTAGCTATAAAGCTATCTATCAACAAAGTCATCGCTGCTACACCCATGTACCAGTTTGTTCAAAGTGTGCTAAATTTCACTAAATATTCATAAAAAACCGGTTTTATTTTATTTATTTATTTTATTTTAACACATAAGTATAGGTACAGAGAAGCACCAAGTACATATGCGCCACACGAATCTCAATTGATTTGTGTGAGGGCTGTGATACTGCTCGGGTGCCCAAACCGAAGCAGGTGGTTTTCTTAGGGGGCCACACCCCGAGCCTTCGACCTGAACGTCTGACCCACAAGGCAGTGGAGCATCGTGAGGAGATGCAGTTCCATGGTAGCCGGTGACCAACGATTGGTTCATACTCCATTTGTTCCTTCAGGATACTGGAGCCCATGTGCACCATTGATTTGGGGTCCGGTTATAGCGCCGGACATTCGCTTTTCGTCCTCTCATTTTCGTAAACAACAGTAATGCCACGAGAAGGCAGTGAGTAGGACTTCCCTGGCAGAGGCTATATACGCATGGCCCAGTTTGTTCAAAGTGTGCTAAATTTCACTAAATATTCATAAAAAACCGGTTTATGTCAGCATCTATACAACAAACAATTTTAAAGGGTACACTTATCATATGTAGTGTACAACAATTGATACATCTGACAACTACCACACACATGAAAGGATTCAAAAATACTATCAAACTTAAAGTGTGATGAATGGCTCCAAGTATTCATTCACCGTTTAATATGCTTCTTGCTTCTTGTAGAGGTTTTATATGTAGAATTGTGTTTAATTTGAATTTTTTATTTAGTAGAATTAACATGTCTACGTACAACAGTAATATTTTCCAAAATTTTAGTCTATCTTAAGCATTCCATCAATGATTGGATTTTGTACAAGTATCGGGAAGATTTCAACTGGAATACGGACGTTTACAAAGGTAATCGCTGCATTTTTAAATAAATTTTCAATCAGGCAAGTTCTCTTTATACTCCGATCCGTAACAAAAGTATGCACCTTGAACTCTAAGTAAACCTATTCATTTCAGTCTACATTGAAGTTTATGGGTGTCAAATGAACCATAGTGATACCAATATTGCTCAGAGTTTACTGACGGAAGCAGGGTATACTATTGTCCCGTCGGATGAACAGGTTGGTACTTTTCTTCAAATATAATCCGACAGTGTGACACTGTCTTGCTCATGACATGTGCCATTCGAGATAGTGCTGAAGTAAAAATTTGGCGACGTATTCAGCACCTGCGATCTCTTCATCGTAAATCATATATAAAAATAGGTGTTCTAGGTAAGTATCTTGTTTTAGACATAATCTTACATTCAATGGTGCGTATGCTTTAGGGTCTCTTTATAAGCTACTATAATCAAATATCCCTGACCGTAGCTGCTACCTTGATGTGGTGGTTGGGCTTGCCTATCGTGATGACCCAACCGAGCTATATTGGCTGGAACATATGTTCCTGCAGGTTCTACCATGCCAGGCAGATCGATTGGAGAACGGTAAGACTAAAAGCAGCAACTCAAGGTCTGAGGGCGAAGTCGTACTGCTAACTATACAGAGGTGTGACAGCAGTTAAGTGTTTCCCTCGGACAACCAACATCTGCAGCGATGCTGCCTTCTCACAAGGAAGGAAGGGGTTAGTAAAGGTCGACCATAAAAATGTCACACCTCACCTTACCCCACGGATTTCCGTCTCCGGCGGTAAGGCCCTTTGAAGAACGGAGCTAACACATTAAAAAAACCTCCCACAAAAAGGCCGTGCGCGACCGGCCTCAAGCAGATGTGCCTTGGGCTCTGCAGTCACGCTCCCAGGTCGTTAAGACCAACACTAATCCGATTTCCTCTTCAGGTTCCTCAAGAAATACCCTTCCACGGTGTGGGCAGCCGGGAAGTGACATCAGCCCTCATACCCGTAACAACACACGAGACCAAGTTGGTCACATTCAAATCCTTCCTACACTTCCTAATAACTCTCTTATCTCCACGACTAACCCTTCTTATGTCCCTTTATCACCTCGCCCCGCTAGTGCAAACTATTCGAGTACACGGAACGTTATTCCTGGTCTCCTGAAACCAAGCTCTAAACTACACGTAGGAGCTTTCAACGTCCGAACACTGTGCCAAATAGGACAACAGGCTCCCTTAGCTAGGACTTAAGAATCTCGCGCCATCGATGTGTGCTGCGTCTCCGAAATGCGCACACAGGATCCGAGTAGTGTAATTCATTTGACCGCACCATGTCAAAGTAACGAACCAACTCGGTTTACGCTTCGTGTATCTGGAAGCCCTGATACTGCTTCTCGTGGTCTCGCTGGCGTAGGTATAGCATTGAGTCCTAGAGCAGAACTAGCACTCTTAGACTGGATCCCAGTAGACAGTCGTTTGTGCGCTGTCCGACTAAACGGAACAGTAAGGACTTGGAAAGATAGGGACACTCGTCGTTGCCTCTTGATCGTCTCTGCCTACTCTCCCACTAACTGCAGCTCAGATAATGTAAAAGATGAGTTTTACAGAAAGCTTTCCGACCTTCTCCGAAAAGCTAGGCGTTCAGATGTAGTAATAGTGGCTGGTGACTTTAATGCTCAAGTAGGTAAACTAAGCGAAAGGGAAAGACACCTGTGTGGATCTTATGGTGTCGCGGCTCAAAGAACAGATAATGGCGACCGTCTGTTGCAACTATGCTCAGATAACCGCCTGTTTCTTGCAAACACTAACTTTAAGCATAAGGCAAAACATCTTTTGACATGGCGACCCCCTAATTCGTCCCAACGTTGGACCCAAATAGATCACATCGCTATCAGCCACCGATGGAGGGGCTCGGTAGAAGACTGTCGCTCATTCTGGAGCAAATGCTTAGACTCAGATCATGCTCTAGTGCGAGCGCGTATTTGTCTGCGTCTTACTGGACGTAGGAAAGATGGTGCAAGGAAACCCTTTAGGGTCCTACTTAATGATAGTCAAGCTAAGAGTATATTTCAGGAACAACTAGAGCAACAGTTAGGCAGTCCTGTAAGTGATGCCCACCCCGTGGTAGCGTGGAATGACACCCAAAAAGTTGTAGAAACAGCAGTGATGTCTGCAAGTACGGTAAACCATAAGGTTAGGGAGAAACACTGGATCTCAGCAGCATCTACCGCACTGATAGATGCTCAAAAACTCATTCCATCTGGCTCTGAACATAACGAAGAGCGGAGTCAGCTTAAGCGTAAGCTGACTAGAAGCCTACGCAATGATCGTGAACAGTGGTAGGTAGCGAAAGCAAGAGAGATGGAAAAGGCAGCGGCAATAGGTAACAGTAGGCAACTGTTCAGACTTGTTAAGGAAACCGGTATTAGGAACCCAACTGTTAGCGAAACAATCTCAGAGCAAGATGGACATATTGTTCATTCTCAATCCAGGAGATTGGATCGATGGGCAGAATACTTTAGGGATCAGTTCAACTGGCCTTCAGCCACACTTCGGTTTCCCACGATCTCCAGTCGACCTGAATGACAAGTTGATGTAAGCCCTCCGACTTTTTACGAAGTTGAAAAAGCTATAGGAAATCTGAAACGTGGGAGAGCAGCAGGCCCTGACAGGTTTACCCCTGAGATTTTTAAGGATGGCGGTCCAGTATTTGCAGCGAGATTGACTGAGGTCTTAGGTAGAATCTGGGAACTGGACGTAATCCCATCTGACTGGTCTCAATCACTGATTGTAGCAGTCTATAAGAAAGGACAAAAGTCTTCTTGTGACAATCACAGAGGAATTAGTTTGACTAATATAGTGTCTAAAATATTAGCTTCAATATTAATTCGACGCCTAATCAAAGCTCGTGAAGAGCAGACCATAGAAAACCAGGCTGGCTTTCGACCTGGACGTGGTTGTATAGATCAAATGTTCACATTATGTCAGGTCCTAGAACACAGACACACATTCAGACGCCCCACAATGGTAGTATTTGTCAACGTTAAGGCGGCATTTGGCTCTGTTGATCGAGAGGTTCTATGGCAGTGTCTGTCATTGAAAGGCGTACCTCAGAAGTACATTAACCTTATAAAGGCTCTCTACTCGAACACAACTGGTCGAGTGTGAGCTTATGGCGAACTGTCATCAGAACTAATTACCTCAAGTGGTGTTCGTCAGGGCTGTCCATTCTTGTTTAACCTTGTTGTTGACATGCTTTTAGAAATAACACTTTCCAGGTGTTGAACTTCTACCGAAAGACTCACTTATTGACTTAGAGTATGCCGACGACATAGTTCTATTTGGTGAAGACGCTGACAAAATGCCGAGTCTGCTAACCACTAAGCAACAATGCAGACATGTTTGGCATGCGATTTTCTCCCTCGAAATGTAAATTGTTGCTTCAGGATTGGGTTGCGTCGACACCCGAACTAGTGATAAGGAGTGAAGTAATTGAGCATGTCGACCGCTTCACTTATCTTTGGAGTTTCATCAGCCTATGTGGTCAGGTGTGTGACGAAATCTCAGCACAAATACAGAAGACTCTACTAGCTTTTGCCAACTTGCGTCATTTGTGGCGTAGGCGAGATATCCGTCTATCAACCAAAGGACGGGTTTACTGCGCATCAGTTCGTTCCGTCCTACTTTAAGGCAGTGAAACATGGCCGGCAAGAGTAGAGGATATTCGTAGGTTACTAGTATTTGATCATAGGTGTCTTCGAAACATTCCTCGTATATTCTGGGACCTCCGGGTAAGTAATGAAGTTGTTAGGAAACGGATACTAGTTAAGGATAGCAAATCAATTGACGAAGTAGTGAAACTTAATCAGTTTATTTATTTATTTATTTATTTGAACACATAAATATTGGTACAGGGGGGCACCAAATATATATGCGCCACACAAAACAATGATAATTTGAAGAGAAGGAGAAAAGAGAAAAAAAAGTAATGAACGTGGGGAATTATAGATAAATAAAAAAAAGAGAGAGAGAGAACAAGGATGGGGAAAACGGAAAGGTACAATCAGAAGGGATCTTTCAGTTAAGGAAGATACAAACACTTTTTATGAAGAAAGTAAAAGAAGGTTACAGCAGGATCGCCACTAGCTTCTATTCTGAGCCATATCTGATAGCGTCTCTAGCCACTGCGTTACACCATCTCTCGGACCCCAGCCAGGGAGTCGTGAAGGACCAACAGAAGGTAGCCCTTTGCAGCTTTCTTTCATACCACGACACCATGTCATATACTGACCACCTCTCCGCTTTTTCCAACCAGTCCCAGAGTCGGCAAATAATGCACGATGAGGAATTCTCTGGGACGACATTCGTAGAACATGTCCAAGCCACCGAAGTCGATGTTTCAAGATGGTGACACCAATTTCATTATCGTCTCTGTGACCGAACACTCGATGCCGGACCTCTGCATTACTGACATAGTGTTGCCACTGGATGCCAGCAATCCTTCGGAGACAACGATGATCAAACACAGAGAGTCGTCTAACATCCTCAACTCGGAGAGGTCAGGTTTCACAAGCATAGAGCAAAACTGCTCTCTCCGACGCGTTGTAGATCCGACCTTTTACAGCCAAACTAACATCACGAAGGCGCGAAAGGTGGCCCAGATTGGCATAAGCCGCTCTGGCTTTCACTATGCGTGCATTGATCTCATCATTCACGCCACCACCAGCACTTATGCAGCTACATAGATACACGAACTTCTCGACTACTTCTATCTGCTCACCGTCCAGAGTGAGTACAGGATTAGAATCCCGCCAGTCTTGTAGGAGTACTTTGCACTTTGAAGGTGCGAAGCACATACCATACCTACAGACATTGATTGCCAACTTACATCCACCAGAGCTGTTTCCAGAATGTCGTCGATGGCAAAGTTGAAGAGGAATGGTGAGATTGGGAAACCCTGCCTAACTCCACTGCTCGAATGGAATAATGGAGAAAGGTGGTTGTATGCCCTCACTCTGCCTGAGGTGTTTGTGTATAGGGCTTTTAGGATGTTAATAAACTTCTCAGGCACACCCTTCTTCAATAGACAATCCCAGAGAACAGTTCTGTCCAACGAATCGAAGGCAGCCCTGATTTCAAGAAACACTACGATTGTTGGCCTTTGATAAGTATGGCGGTGTTCTAACACTTGGCGGAGGGTGAAGATATGATCAATACATCCTCGACCAGAACGAAACCCAGCCTGCTCCTCCCGAGTCAATCCTTCTCGGGTTCTGAATAACCTACGAAGTATGACGGAAGCCAATAGCTTGGACGCAATCGGAAGTAGACTTATCCCTCGATAGTTGTTACAGCAACAACGTGAACCCTTTTTAAAGATAGGGACAACTATCGACTCATTCCATGACGTTGGTACACTCTCTAGTTCCCAGACCTTTGCAAACAACGTCGTCAGTCCCTTAGTCAGTGAGTCACTACCATCTTTGAAAAGAGCCGGAGGTGAGTCGTCTGGGCCCGGTGATTTGTAACGTTTCAAGAGTTGGAGTTCCTTGCGGACTTCCGCCTCATTTGGTGGATCAGTCGTCACCGGCCATGGGGGTCGGGACAGTCTGACCGATGTTGCCGGGGCAGTAGACCAATTGAATCGCTCCTCGAAAAACTCTGCCCATCATCCAGGATGTCGATAGATGTTAGTGACTGACATCCCGTCATCTTCGCAGATTGTTTCGCTCACACCAGACTTCTTGCTGCCAGTGGCTCGGATGAGTTGGAAGAGCTTCCGGTAATTACCAGATGCAGCTGCTGCTTCCAGCTCATTAGCACGCTCCGACCACCAGGCTTCACGGTCCTTACGCAAGCTTTGCCCGATTTCATTACGTAACAACCTTCGCCTGTGGTCAAACTCACGGTCACCCGAAGTAGACCGACAGGCTTCAATAAGTTGTAAGGAATCAGAAGAAACCCAGTGCTTGTAAGCGGGACGTTTCGCGAACCCACAACAGACTGTACCCGCCATTTTCATGGCGTCATGCAATTGCAACCAATGCTCATCTATACTTTTCGGTGGAATGGTAGCTAGGCTAGAAGCTAGCTCGGTTCGGTAGTTACTTGCAACAGAAGTTGCAGCCAACTTGCTAACATCAATCCTTTGGTGGCGGTCACTTCGTTGTCCACTGAAAAGTAAGGTAAGATTGGCGCAGACCAGAGCATGATCAGATTCCAGATAGGTACTCCAAAAGGAGCGGCAGTCTTGTACACAACCACGCCAGCGGTAGCTGATCGCGATGTGATCAATCTGTATCCAGGCTTGAGATGTAGAAGGGGGACGCCAGGTGGCACATCGGCGATGACTGTGCCGAAAGTTAGTGCTAGCCAGAAACAGGTTGTGGTCTGTGCATAGTTGCAGTAGACGTTCCCCGTTATCTTTCCTGCGACCAACGAGTCCCCATCGGCCACCTAAACGACTCTCTTCTGTGCCTAGACGCCCGACCTGAGCATTCAAGTCTCCAGCTAGTACTACAATATCTGTCGAGCGAACTTTCTGGAGAAGAACAGTTAACTGGTGGTAGAACTCATCCTTGATTGCATCCGGGCTGCAATCTGTCGGGGCATAGGCTGAGATGACGATTTCTTCTCACTTTGATGGAACTTTCTAATCTAACGGCACATAACCGACCGTTGATGGGGATCCAGTCGATTAGTGCTGCCTCAGCTCTCGCGCTTAGTGTGACACCAACGCCAGCTAGACCAGACGAAGATGCCACAGGGTCCCCGGATAAACGCACATAAAACAAGCTTTTTGAAGCGACAGATGGAGAGCGAACTTGTAGTACTTCACCAGAGTCTTGAATACGGGTCTCGGATAGACAACACACATCAATATTAAGACTTTCCAAAGACATAGCCAGACCTATCTATTGTCCGACCTGCATAAGTGTGAGAACGTTGAAGGCAGCCAGTTTGAATGGTCCACGTGGTTTCAGAAAAACTGCTTCAGTACTCATATTCGGTGGTAACATACAGTTTTCAACCAGGCAGTGACTCGAGAACGTTTAGATAAAGCTGGATTTTCACCATAGGTGAGCTGCTGTCTAGGTCGAAACGGATACATAAAGTAGGAATAAGAGAGGGTGAATAAATGACGTGGTAGAGTAATAATAATAATAATAATAATAATAATAATAATAATAATAGTACGAGTTATTTCAATGTTAATCAGATAGAAAGGAATATTTTCCATAAGCGAATAGTTCATCATGGTTTTAGTGCGTGGGCTAAGATACTGCTTGGGTGCCCAAACCGAAGCAGGCCCTCACTCTACCTGATGTGTTTGTGTAAAGAGCCTTGACATTGTTGATAAGCTTCTCAAACACACCTTTTAACAGATGATCCTAATGAACAGTCATATCCGAATAATCGAAGTCGTCTCGGATGTCAAGAAATGTAACGACTATTGGGTTGTAAAAAATGTGACAGTGTTCAAGTATTTGACAGAGAATAGAGATAAGATGAACGCCATACCGTTACATTAGGTGTTCGGAGTCCTCTTTTGTAATACCATCATGCTACCAAGCTTTTATAGCCTATATCAGCCAGTCAGTCAGCAACAATATAGAACTTCGTACGTACGTACATCATTTCAAGTTGCTGTACTGTATTAGCAGAGAGATACAGTTGTCGATTCAAATCCCATAGTGGTAGAGGTAGTGAGAGTATAAGTAGTGATGGGGAACATTAGGGTTTGATGATGTTATTTAAGGAGTATAATCCAGTGGAATAGATTTGGAAAGAAAATAAAGGACATGAAGAATTCAGAAGATTAGAATTTGGGAGAACACAAAGAGTGGATGCACCTGAGCCATTGCAAACAATTTTGGGCCATGTCATTCAAGATCTCTAACCATCAGTTTCTATCGTCTCGCGGATCCCAACCAGGTAGTCTACACCTACCAACATGGCTCAGTCCACTTGTCAGTGACTTCATGGATTTGTGCCATGTTTCGGTCTGGCCGCCCTTAGCTTTCTTCCAACCTACTTCTACACCATAAAACATAGCACGTCGGGGCAGTCGGTGGTCGGGCATACGTAACACATGTCCCAGCCATCTCAACTGATTAAATAAATAATATATTTGTAATATCTAAATGAGTAGGAAAATTAGATTTTCTGACGTTTCGTGACTTAGTGTAAGTCACTTCTTCAGAGAATATTACAAATATATTATTTATTTATAACAATCTACCCAATGCTCAATTTATTCGAAATTATCAAATCAAATCTTGGTAATGATACCTACAAACCCAACTGATTAAGTTTCACTACTTCGTCAATTGATTTGCTATCCTTAACTAGTATCCGTTTCCTAACAACTTCATTACTTACCCGGAGGTCCCAGAATATACGAGGAATGTTTCGAAGACACCTATGATCAAATACTAGTAACCTGCGAATATCCTCTACTCTTGCCGGCCATGTTTCACTGCCTTAAAGTAGGACGGAACGAACTGATGCGCAGTAAACCGTCCTTTGGTTGGTAACCTATACTAAGAAAGTCTCACTCACTGCCTTCAGATGGCGGGGCGTTTTTAAAAAATTAAAGGGCAAAAAGGAAGTGTGTTTCGCGCTCAAAACGTGTTAGTGGATAAAATGGTTTCGCCAAGGGGAGTTGCACAACCGTAACTATAGGGAAACTTCGAAATATAGTCTTTTTAGAAGTATTACAACTAGACATCTTTAAACAACGTTTACAGTATCCCGAAAGTATTGTAAACAAATCCAAAAAATCTTTACTTCAATTGCATATCAGTTCAGGCCCTTACAATATACCATATGACCGTTAGATGATATTAGCAAAATGTGATCTTCAGTACTAAGCACAACAATAATATTAATAACCAAGTTCGACAATATGTTAGTGATATTTTACCTAATAAAATTTCAGGATGTATGGCCAAAAGGCTAAAGGATAAACTCCTTATGGATGACAGCAGTAAAACTGCAGATTTTGTTTGTGGCCCTGATTCTTACCGTGATTTGCCAAAACTTATTGAAGATGCTCATTCTGGATTAAAAGGTGCTAGCGTCGCATTGTCTCTGGAAGAGACATACGCAGATGTAACTCCTGTACGACGTCATTTTACAACTGACGAATCCTCAGACCCTATCCCTGCTCCTACTGCTTTCCTATCAGTTATGCGTGGGTGTGATAATATGTGCACCTATTGTATAGTACCTTTTGTCAGAGGACGTGAACGCAGTAGACCATTGGATTCAATCCTTCACGAAGCACAAAGCTTATTTAATCAGGTATATTCACACATGTTTCTTGCTTTTTGATAACTAGAAGTCTGTTATTCATTGGGGCAAGATTTCATGCTTACGCACATTGTAGTTCCATCATTTCGTTTTCTTAGAAGTGAGATTTTATTATCGTTATCAAGGGTTATCTGTGTGAACAAAATCGTATTTATATTTTCCCCCCGTATATTGTATTGGCTTACCTTGGTCGGATTGTTCGGTATACTTGTAGAAACTAGCTTTGATGAATTTATGCTAATGAACAAGAACTGTAACATCGGTTTATTTATATTTAGATCAGATCAACAACATTTACTCATACTCTCTGCTAGAGTATGCTAGAGTCTACAAACAATTCGAAATTTATTTGAAAAATGTTAAATCTATGTGCAAGGTAGATTATCCTTTTTTCGATATTTTTAAACTTCCCAACTTATAACCTACCATTTTTCCATCACTGATAAAAATACAATTTAGTCGCTGCCGTACATTCAGAATTTCATCTTATTCCATTACAATGTTAGTTTTTATCATCGAATGATAGTAGCTGGGATACTTTAAAATATCAGAACTCATTTTAAAACTGTTTCGTTGTAGTTTATGACTTATCAACAATACACACCCGTCCAGAGACCTTGCACAACGGCCATATTATCTTTAGATCATTGAGTTGGCATACAGTGGTGCTTACACTTGTAACTTTAACTGATTTGTAATATCACACAACAACGCCCGGTCTTATTGGTGAATGACAAGGAACTCACTAAAAACCTCAAACTTTGATGTTCCGGTGAATAAAAAATAAATCCCACAAATTGGGCGAAACTGAATTTTCGGAAAATTCGGTTACACTTCTCCCGTCCGATTTTGCCACCTAGATCAAATATTTGACAGTATGCCCTGTATGAAGTCTGAGACCTCTTTATAAGCCGCATTTAGCTATCGCCTAACCAAAAGATGAAACTTTGCAGTCGGCACAAAGGAAATAATATATATAAGTATATTTTTATTTAATTATGTTAAGATCTAAACTGTTTGTTAAATCGGCTATACAATCCTTGTTTTGTTTTACTCGTCTTGAAACATTTGTCGATCATAGAGTTTTCTCTAAAAACATACATTCAGTATTTGACTGGTTGGTGATTCGTGTGATATATTGTCTCAATTAATTAATTCTGTAACAAGTAATACAACCCATAAAGTGTATTTCGTCTTAGGACAATGAAAGTGAAAAAAGACCATTATGTGGTATATTGAGCAATGGAGTTAGTTCCTAAATGTTTATTGTAGTATTCATCGAAAAGACAATCAGAATTGTGTAGCTTCTGTTGTGATTTTGTGCAGACTACAAAGTTTCTATTAACAATATCTTTAACGCTAGTGTAAAACGTACTTATCGACAATTGAAATCTGTCCTTGTGACTGAGTACCCGTATAAAGGTCAATACATTATGATGTCAATCACTGATTCAGTATTTCACTCAATTCTCACGGAACCCTTCCTAAATAATTAGAGCCCAGTTTACATAAATAAATCTGTTTACCGTGACAATGCACTTTTAGTAAATTGTGTTTGAAATCAGTTTCGCAGTGGTTGAAATTCAATCACTCTAACTTCTAGATTGTAAAACAGTATGAAATATAATTGTTTCAGGAAAATCATAACTTACACTTCTTGAAATAAAAAGATATAACTCACTAAACCTCTAAAAATAGGTTGCGTTTTGGGGTCCCTGTTCGCTTTATTACTATCATGATTTTCTGCTTGATCTAGTATGAGTTTATGCCTGTACTGACTCTCAGTCATTCATTCCAAATTCATCAATATTAAATATATTGCCCTCAATTATTCTACGGCTTCATCGATACTTCCAATTATTGTTTTGTTTTGCCTTTTCCTGCAATCATTTAAATAAAAGGGAGTAAAAGAAATCACTTTGCTTGGACAAAATGTTAACAGTTATTGTGATAATTCGAATGCAGACTTATCAATCAACTCATCTAAAACGATTTCAACACTTGTCCCTGGATTTAAAACTGTTTATAAACCAAAAGTTGGTGGTTTAAGATTTTTCGATTTATTAGACCAAGTAAGTCAAATTAGTCCAGAACTTCGTATTCGATTCACATCACCACATCCAAAAGATTTCCCAAAAGAGGTAAGTTGGCTATTTTTCTAATTTTTCATATTTACGTTACATTAAGAATATGTTTCAGAAACAAATAGAAAGGGAGTTAGCCGGTCGTGAAAATGACATGGTATGATATCCAAAAAGCTGTGGAGACGGTAGTGATATCTACTAGTAACTTAAACCAAAAGGTCAGGAAAAATCGGTGGATTTCGGCAGTGTTTACCGGACTGATAGGTGCACGGAAACTCATCCTGTCCGGCTCTGAACACGATGAGGAGCGGAGACAGCTTAAAAGTAGGTTGATCAAAAGCCTCCGTAATGATCGTGAGCAGTGGTAGTTAGCGGAATCAGAAGAGTCGTAAAAATCAGCAGCAATGGATAACAGAAGTCATCCGTTCGGATTTATCAGGGAAAGTAGTATTAAAAGTCCAATTGTTAGTGAAACTATCTCGAAAAAAAATGGGGCGATTATTCACCCTAAATCCAGGAGAATAAACCGGTCGGTAGAACACTTCAGGGAAAAACCTAACTGGCCTTCAGCCACACTTCAGTTACCCACTATCTCCAAGCAACCTGAATGGCAAACTGATGAAAATCCTCGAACTGCTAGAATGTTTGAAAAGGCTATAAGCAATTTAAAGCAAAGGAAAGCAGCAGAGCATAATGGACTAACTTTTGAGATTTTTAATAATGCTGATACAGTTTTGTCAGTTAGATTAACTGAAAATTTAGCGAAAATCTGGAAACTGGACGTAATCCCATCTGACTGGTCTCGATCGCTGATCGTCCCAGTTTATAAGAAAGGACAAAAATCCCATTGTGACAAACACAGGAATCAGTCTTACTGATAGTGTCTAAAATATTAGCCTCAATAAAACTTCAGCTTCTAACTAGAGCCCGTGAAGAGCAGACCCAAGATAATTAGGCTGGTCTCAGACCCGGACGTGAATGTGTAGACCAAATATTCACCCTTCGCCAGATCCGGGAACATAAACATGCTCTTCAACGTCCTGCTATAATCGTATTCCTTTGTAGCAGCATGTGCCACCAATGTTAGTGATTCAAGTTCACGAAATGTCATTCATGGTCTCCTGAAACCACTCTCTAAACTACATGTTATAGCATTCAATGTTCGAACCTTGTGTCAGATAGAACTCTACGATCTCGCGTCATTGATGTATACTGCGTCCCCAAAACGCGTATGCGGGGTTCAAGTACGGTTATTCATTTGACCTTACGCTGTCAATATAAAGGACTCTCAAGACTTATTCTTCGAGCATCTAGAGACCCCACCGCTACTTCCTGTGATCTCGTTCGTGTAGGTATGGCATTGAGTTCCAAGACAGAACAGGCTATCGTATGAAACTAACCGACCTCCTGCAAAAAGCTAAACGCTTTGACGTAGTAAATGTGTCAGGTAATTTTGATGCTCCAGTAGATGAACTAAACTAAACTGACAGGTTCTTAGGTTGTTACAGCTCAGCGAACATATAATGGCAACCGTCTATTTCAATTATGCTTAAGTTACCGTCGATTTCTAGCAAACACCAAACTTAAACATATGGAGAAACATCGTCTGACCTGGCGACATTCACAATCGACTTATCTATGGACTCAAATAGATCGCATTGCCAATAGCTATCGTTGGGGTGGCTCGATTGAAGAATGTCTCACACTCTGGAGCACATATTTAGACTCTGATCACGCTCTAGGTAGAGCAGGTATTTGTCTGCATCTTACTGGAAGTAGAACAGTTACAGTCATGTGTATTTGAGTTTATGAATCGGGCTACCATATTAGTTGGTTAAAAAATGTTTTATTGGTCGATGAGTTATTACTTTTCATAATGTTATCCGGCTTTCAACTATTATCAAACTGAAATGAAACTTTTGTTCATTGTAATGATCATTGATATTTGCATCTAGGTTCTTCAACTAATTTCTGAACGTAAAAATATTTGTTCAAATATACATTTACCAGCTCAATCAGGCAGTAGTGTTGTTCTGGAAAATATGAGAAGAGGTTATACTAGACAAGCCTACATAGAGTTAGTGAACACTATTCACGAAATAGTTCCAAGTTAGTATCTCTTATTTAGTTCATTTATAAATTTAAATTACTGTAATTATGAGTTTTTTATCGTCCAGTTTAAGTTAATAAGTTGGTGTACCAAGAAAAATTATATTATGCGCTTACGCTTAATCCCATTTGGATCTTTTAATACCATTGAGCTAATAAAATAATTGTCACTTACTAGATTAGAAAAACTGACTGAAAGAGATTTAAAATCATTTATTCAAGAAAGTACTAGTCAGAACACAACTAGTTTTCTTAGCAAACAAATTTCTTTAGAGCATCCAAATCTATTTAAGGACTAAAACTAGTGTGGCATTGTTACAAGAACGTGAAAGGAACAACTTACGCTTAAAATCCCCTAAATAAAATGGATTAGACTTCTCCAAACGTACAATTTTTTTAATGAAAACAAATAAATGCTAACAATCCACAAACCTCTAATAGTAAAGTATACAGGAGTCAGTTATTCTACCAAAAGCTACAAAATCGCATTTTTTTACTTTAAATCAGTGAGTAAACTTGCGGAGAATTCTATATCACAAATCTGTATGAAGCAGGAATATTAACAAATAGCTCATTATACTTGGTATTAAGTAGCTTTCTGTGAAACAGAAAGGGAGAAGCGAAAGGAAAACAAAGTTTATGAATATCGAAGAGATTTAATGAAGATTATCAGTAGTGATAATCAAGATTGCTGTCTGCAAATCCCATGCATTACATTTTAGACAGTCTTACTTTAGTGAGACAATATATGCACTGTCTCGTTCTTGCTTAATATACAAGCCCTGTGAGTCTTTATGCAATTCGCTCTCCCTAAAATTGTTTTCTGATTGGCCTTGTCCATTCCAAGTATCAATTTGGTTTTCTAATATTGCAATGAAGATCTTCACTCTATGAGTATTTGTACACACTCAAGCACCGTATTTATTTCCTTGTCGCAATCTAGTTAAATTGAGTGGCCGCTGAATGTTCTAGAAATAACTAAATGTGCCAGTTTTTATGTGTTTGTATGAATCGTTTTCAAATACTCACATAGTTCATACCATTGTTGTCTTTTTTCCAGATGTTAGTCTTACAAGTGATTTTATCGCAGGATTTTGTGGTGAAACTGAAGAAGATCACTCTCAATCTCTTGAGCTCATTGAACGTGTTGGTTATTCGTTTTGTTTCTGTTTTCCGTACAGTATGCGTGAGGTATGCATCATCTCGACTGCTTTTGAAATTCCTTTTTTATTTATTTAGTGTCGATTAACCACTAGCTCTCTCTGCAATGAACCAGTCGATAAACGTTGAAGAGTTTAATGTACTAAATACTCGACCATATGCTAATAGCTTACTATATAAAGGGTAATAATACTATCTAGCTGCACAAATGGAAATCAATACAATAGGCTAGGTTCGGTTATTTTATTTAGAAAGTTATTTTCTAAGAACACCAAGGTGGAATAAGGACTTTTGGTAAATTCTTTAACTCACACTCTATTTGAATGCAAAAGTTCCTTCTACATGTCTATTCACATGAGAACACCTAAGTCATCGATAATTCATCATACTTTAAACACTATAAGCCAACTCGACATTATCGCATAACCACATTAAGTTTACTATAGTAAGATTCATGCACTAACTCCCATAAAAATCGGTCATTAGGCCTATTCATCGAATCATTTCAAAGCCGATCAATACTTCGTTTGATGATACTCGTGTTTACACGTAAGATCCGTTTGTTAAGACTGTGAACGTTAAGAGACTAGTGTCGGTAATATGCTGCGCATATTAAACCACTCGACATCCCATTAGTAACTAGCAGAGAAGCGGATTAAAAGAAATTTAAGGGGTAACCAAACAAGGACCTACCGCCAATCTGTAAACCCACTAAATGTTGATCAGTCTTGTTAAGAAGTACAAATTGTCCGCTTCATGACCATGTGGCGACCGTCAAAATTTGTTGGAGACACTAAGTGATATAGCTAGAAATGGATTGTAATTCCACAGATACATCTATCCTTTGCTTTGTTTTAATATTTCACACTTTTTTATTCCTTGAATTCATCTGCTCTTTTTAAAAAATATCTACCCGCATTTAATTTGCATTATTATTAACTCGTTCTCTCTCGCTGGATGCTCCTTAGAATTACGGCGATTCAGACTAATGGACATTTATGATGAGTAAGTTTAAATGGCATTATGATCCACTTTATACGATTACGCATATCGTCCAGTATTCTAATGCTTGAAAGTAAGATCAATTTCACCACAGTATGTTCATTCAAACTATTAATATAAACAAATAAGTGTTTCTTGCTCGTTTCCTTGTACTCCTAATTTCATTATCTGTTGTATTTTGACTTCACTTTAGAAAACTTTTGCATATCATCATTTAACTGATGATGTACCAATTGAAGTGAAAAAACGACGACATGAAGAGTTATCAATGATATCTCGAAATAAAAGTTTAGAGTTTAATCAAAAACAAATTGGCACTATTCAAATTGTTTTAGTTGAAGGAGTAAGTTAACTAAAAAATGACACAATCACTAATTCGCGCCAAGGTGTTCATTCAGAAAAATTATTATTTGAAAAGGAAAAAGTATTTTGATCATCTCAAGATAAAACTTTTTAGTCAGCGCTAAATGCCAATTTCATTATTGAGTGAATAGTTCTTGTTATGATGAAGCTACTGCTCGTTACCGAATGGTCTCTTTGGACTTATCGATTGAGTATTTATCAATGCCCTCCCTTAAAAGATTCCAACTTATCATTTCAACACGTCTTATGAAACATCGTACTTGAGTGATGTATTTTGTAAAATCTTCTGAAAGAATGGGATTACCTAGCTGTTTTTATTTAAATAAATAGTGGTTCAAGACTATGAAGTTTTAGAAAGAAAGAATTCATATCTTGACTTATCCCTTTAGTGTGGACGAGACTGAAAAGGCATCACTACTCTTACATGTCTTTATTTTGTTATTCTGAATAATATTCCGAACCAATCTGTATCAAATGTTATAGCGTCGCATTTTCACATACTCCACTACATGACTTCGTAAAACTTTCCTATTAAAAACGCGGGAGGATATCTGGGATTTATGACTGATTACATATGCTAATTATAAATGAACTAAACACTGCAAATCATACCACTTATCGGATTTTTATTTACGGTTAATATGTTCGACAATACCCTTCTAGTACGACAACGGATTTGATGTGATTGGATAAATGAAATAACAAACACTCAATTATGCATCAAGATTTGCTCAACTGCACACAATAAGAAAAAATATTGGAGGAAACCTTTTTATCTCAAACAAACTAATCATTCGAGTAAATACCTAAGTATATAACATTTACATGATCTTCAATAAACTATGTAAGAATGGTACACTAAAATAAAGTTTAATACGAATAACCAATGATAAAAGAGGTCAATTATCATTTATCATAAACGGTCTTCACGATGTGATGTGACTACTAATCAGTAATAAATGACCGTTTGAAATGCTAATAGCATTGTTTTTCGAAGCCACCCCGACAAGAACCTCACCAACTAAACCTTACTAAAACGTGCTTATTTTACTAGTCATTGAGTAGCACTACTATTTGTCTTTAACCTAGGTTTGGAAATACATCACAAATGAATCTATAATTGTTGCTTCAAAATTAATATTAGCGCACCTCCTTGCAATCGAGACAAATGTCACGGACTGTTGCATCTTTTTGCAACTATCGTAGTGTTAATTGTATAAATATAGATAATTTTCCAAGTTCCTTAAATTAAAATATTACGCTTTATTAATTTTAGCCCAGTCGTCGTTCACCAACGCAAGTGTTTGGACGTAATGATTATAATACGAAGGTAATTTTCGACCAAAATGTTACACAAACACCAACTACTAAAAATCAAGATTCTTCGCATGTATCCTTCAAGCCTGGTGATTATGTGGTTGTTGAGGTTTGTAAATGGTTATATTTCATTATATTTTAGTAGTGATGGTATTGAGAAGATAGATCACAGTCAACTACAGAGCGATTTTAAAACTAAATACATTGAGTTGGATCGAAGGGATTCAGTGATAAAAAAAAGTTTCAGTCAATTGGCTACAACGTACCGGGCATATATAAGCATCGGTTTAGTACAAGATGAACACCTAATTCTTAGAAGCAGTTACTTTAGTGGCAGTAAAAAACAAAATTCTAGTGAGCGTTGCGCGTACGTAGCTCGTGGCCCTATCTTCTCAATCAACGAAGATTTACAACTTCATCAACTGATTTACCATCCTTCCCTAATACTTTGCATCTAAGCTCACTATTAATTCCCCGGTGATCCCAGCAGATGCTGGTAAGAAAAGTTGACAAACCAGTTTAGTGTCAAGTTCAATATAAAGAGCGTGTCTATATATTTTCTTTACATTAGTTCTAACGCATAATAGAACAGCTTCAACGTCGACAATTTACACCCTGCCAACGATACCGGAGCATGTCCAGTGATTTGTTTGATGGACCAGTGATACAGACGGTGTAAAACGATTTGGATGATTCGAATTTTATATGCACAGACTTTTCCATAATAGGACTGGTAGTAAGAACAGCCAGTGCCAAAACAACGAGAGACTAGTGTGGAGAGAGTCAATTAAATACTAATGAAAATCCTTTTGTTTTTGCCTCCCCTCTTTTTTAAACTTTTCAATGTTTCGTTTCATAATATCTGTTTATTCATTATTACAAAAAAGAAAAAGGAATTCGTCCACTTGCTTTTTAAAAGTAGAACTTTCACTTACTATGAATTCAAACAATCTCAAAATGTCCATACAAAGAACCAGATAATATGGACTGTATATTAGGGATACATAAATTTTATAAGTGGTAGTAGTGTATCTAGATTTTTATACTGTTCTTTTCAGATTGTTGGTGCGACGTCTCAGACATTACAAGGGAAGGCTCTTGGCTTGTCTACACTTGGAGATTTTTGTAAAACAAAGTGGCATAGTATGAATACAGCTAAAATAATATAAATCGTTTTTATTTATCAGAATTTTACCTTGGGGTGGGTTCTAGCATCGCATTTATCTCCTCACCTTTACTGTTATCCCAGCTGAATATCGCTTACTGTCTATCCGTGAATTTAGTAGCTAATTAAGAACTATCACGATAATGTTATATTGCCAATAGGGGCTCGTACACTGATGTGGTTCTAGGTTTTATATACAGGCGATTCGGCGGAGCTGTATCAGCTGAAATACTTTCTATTTGTAGCCCAATTTACTTGGTAAGCCAGCTACAGAGCAGATGGAACGAAATTAACCCTAGACCATAAGGTACCTAACATAACAGGCTCCCAATGAAAATATGGGGTTATGAGAGGTCTATCTTAAAAACAACACTCATCTTGTCTATGAATACCTGGTAACTGTAAAACTTTAGATATATGTTGTATCTCTAGAACCCACCCAGTATCCAAACGCAAATGTTTGTAACGCATCAGAGTGTTCTGAAAACAAAACTACCGTCGGCAATTTGAATCTAAACTAAATCAACGTATCTGTGGTCGTAAAGAGTTGAGTAATATGAAAAGTGAACATGACAGTTGGTCAGACGAGATAGTTCTTCACAACGTTGTGGATGTCCATTGACCCAGGTGGTTGAAAGATGTCATTTATTTATTTGAACACATAAATATTCGTGCAAGGTTTAGTGGTTCTTGACAAAATATATCGTAACCTAAAAGCAAGTAGATCTCGCAAAATAGTACGTTAAGTGGGAAATACTGTCCAAAGTAATTAAAATAAAGTCTAACCATTGAATGTTTGCTAGGACACTCATCCCATACATAGATACTTGTCGAAAAAACAAGCATTAGTTTACAAACTTTCGTCTATTATATACTTGATGGTTACTCCCCTTTAATACAATCTGTAACCGTGTCTTCGTCTAGCCGTCTTTTCGTAATTCGGATTCCTAATTTCGCCAAATTCGCAATCGGCTGCATTTGGCAATGAACACGGTGGCACCCATCCATCGTCTTTAAGGGCAGCGAAACACTTGATGATATCTGAGTCTTTACGGGCCATTTTCTAAAATATAAACTGATGATTAGAAAACTTGACATCACTTACTCTTATCTGGTTAAGTGAATCATGTGGGGCATTGAAATTAATGAGGAAGTAGTGCCCTTCATATTGCCTTTCTCCTTGAACATGGAATACATTGGGAAGGCGTCGCAAGCCAAGATTCTCAACGTTGAATAGATGAGCACCATTATCGAGCATACCTTTGAGATGTCTTTTGAGAGCATCTTTTATACCGGGAGTGCCAAGAGCTTTAATAATTAAAGACATTTCATACCGTATCACGTTTGACATCTGCAAAACGATATACATTATACATTTACTGGGAGAGAATAATGAAGTAGTTGATATTAAGTCTCATCCATATTCAGATGTTTGTGACTGACGGACATTTATTAACAGTAATATTAAGTAATGCTGCCCACTATTCTAGCAAATATATATTTGTATTCATTAGTATAGCTGACTGTATGTTACTAGATCTTCTCAGGCAAACCAATTGATAAGTGGACCACCATCAAGCACTTTATAGACGAGGTTAAGAAAAGTGACAAATAGATAGTTTCAATATGAATAGTGAGTGTACGTATGAATTACTCGGCTTCAGAGCTAAAATGGGGAGCTCCATCAGTTGTTTGGAATCCCCATCAGAATAAATACCCCGACGAGATGCGTGCATGCTCTTAGCTCAGTTAGGTTTATCTAACTGCAACTGACAAATCAATAGTATTCATCCAACCGGTCAATCAATAATTTCAAATCAAAGGTCGTTTCTATCTTACCGTGTTGCCGATGTTACTGTTTCTCTCTTCTTTAAGCGTTATCTTCAACCGCTCTCAATGATCTCCACAGAGGAAAAATATTTTTGAAGTAACAAAAATAAACAACAATCCCAATGGCGTATGGTAATATTTGAACGGGGACGCCGAACTGAAAAACCGTCTCGGAACACAAAACAATATGAAATTACGACGGGATACAAGTTAATTTCCCTCCTTCACTTTGAGACAAATTAAACAGAACATAATTATAGATCAATTTTAAAAATAGTAAGATGTAAACTTTAGTTAACCATATATTATATATAGTCGTACTCCTGTTTTAGGCTACCATAGTGAACGATCATAAGTGACTGAGAATCGTCTCTGATAACTTTTATTTCACACGTAGATTATGTTAAGACTGATTGCTGAATAAGGACCTGTTCATTCTGTGTAGTTTTAGTGAGTGATCCTGCTTTCCAAGTTCGTACCTCTATCCGAATGTACGGAGATTATGATAATACAAAACCGATAGCTTGAGCAGTTGCACCAGTGTATAAGATGAAATGGCTAGCAGTGGGAGAACGGTCCAGATGTGTTGAAATTGGCGTATAACAAAACAACTCTTTTAACCAGTCGAAAGAATGTTGGCACTTATCAGTCCATTCAAAGTTAATACCCTTTGATAGCAAGGTGTAAAGGAACTGAAACCTCTGAAAATCCTTGAAAAAACCTATAATAAGTTGCTAAACCTAGGAATACATAACATGATGTACTCTGCCTTGATCCTGGCCAATTGTATGGATTAATAATTTGGATATGTAATTGTAGGACCTGAAGATAAATTATTGAAAATAATATTCCTCTTGTGTTTTAATATGATGGGAATTTTTCGCTTCGGAGTTACACTCAGATTATACGTTGGAATCCGTTTTTTTATTCTAGACATATCAAGATTATGCATTATCTCACGTTTCTTCATACGGAAACGAAATTTATTGCGTATGGAGATCGAATGTTACTTGAGTCAGAAAAAAACATTCGCTTCGAGAGGATATATTGAGGTATCATAATATGGCTCGAGTACAGTTGTGTGTGGCACAAAACATCCAAAGGAGTATCATAATAACAAGGCTCATGGAGTACCTTTACAACCAGAAAAACTATGGTTAAACACAGGAAACCCATCGGCAGGGACAGTCACTAAAACTACACAGAATGAACAGGTCCTTATTCAGTAATCAGTCTTAACATAATCTACGTGTGAAATAAAAGTTATCAGAGACGATTCTCAGTCACTTATGATCGTTCACTATGGTAGCCTAAAACAGGAGTACGACTATATATAATATATGGTTAACTAAAGTTTACATCTTACTATTTTTAAAATTGATCTATAATTATGTTCTGTTTAATTTGTCTCAAAGTGAAGGAGGGAAATTAACTTGTATCCCGTCGTAATTTCATATTGTTTTGTGTTCCGAGACGGTTTTTCAGTTCGGCGTCCCCGTTCAAATATTACCATACGCCATTGGGATTGTTGTTTATTTTTGTTACTTCAAAAATATTTTTCCTCTGTGGAGATCATTGAGAGCGGTTGAAGATAACGCTTAAAGAAGAGAGAAACAGTAACATCGGCAACACGGTAAGATAGAAACGACCTTTGATTTGAAATTATTGATTGACCGGTTGGATGAATACTATTGATTTGTCAGTTGCAGTTAGATAAACCTAACTGAGCTAAGAGCATGCACGCATCTCGTCGGGGTATTTATTCTGATGGCGATTCCGATCAACTGACCGGGTTGCTTGATGCGTTCCTGGTAAACCTATAAAAGTAGCCTTGAAATCCCAGTTTGCCTAGAATAAAAAAAAGGATTCAATCGTAAAATCTTAGTGTAACACGGGAGCGTGAAACTCTAGTGCTGTAGAACTAAACTATGTGAATTAATATTGGTTCCAAAAGATAAAGTCCGCTGAACCACAAATCCAAACACTTGAAAAATATCTTCCGGGAGGATCGTTTCCTGTATGGATACTAGGATGTCAACAATAATTGATGGATTTTGCTAGAAACCTACGAACTTGTGTACTAGGCACGTTTATTTCTAGAGAAGCGTTAAAGGAACCAAGACTATGGGGTATTAAGGAAATAAATACTTCTTTTACTGAAATGTGACCAGTATTCGTGCCTTCAAGACATCCTGTTTTATTAAGGGAAGTTTCATCATGCTCAGTAAATTGAAGTCAGCTGCCTTATTGGACGTCTTCTACAATTAGCGACAGCGAGATTCGCAAATTATTCCAGAAAACTTGAAGAGATAGTTCTTAATTAATTTATCGAGGGTATATACTTAGAACTACTATAAAAAAAGTTTATTAAGCAGGCTCCTGAAAGCCTAAAACCTGCTCGTGAGCGAGCATATGGAATGGTTTCAGATCTTGTTAGAGCCCTAGGTGAGACTATAATTTATGGACAACCTCTGAGCGACACTGAAGTGGGCTTAAGAATGTCCACCTACTGACTAGGACTAAATAAGGATTTTAAAATAGTGTGACGAATAAGGATTATGATTTACAGTCGATGGCTAGGAATATGGGTTAGATTTAGGGTTTTCGTCACGAACTGAAATCAGATAAAATGTCAAGACGTTATTTAGCCAAATAGATAAAGAATTTTGCGCCGAAATCCAAGACCTGATTGACTTATCCATAAATTATAGTCTCATCGATCTCTCCACTGGAATCGCTGTTAGACTAAATCCTCTGACGGGATGCGTGTATATTCTCAGCTCAGTTAGTTCTACATAACTACAACTGCCGGATTAAATTTATATATTCAACCAATAATTTCAAACCGATTGTCATCCCTATCCTACCGCGTTAATGATGCAACACTTCAGAGGTATATCCGCTCACAAAGGTTGTGAGCACTTGAAGGTCAAACTACCGCAAAATGATTGGTGCGTCACATCGACATTTCGTGAAGTTTTTCAGAAGCGGTCAAACCAAGACATTTTTAGATTTGAATGGGTGGATTTATCCGCAACGTTTCCATGTAAGCTTATTACTGGCGCTCGTCTCAAAAATGGGAGTGTTTTTTGTACTGGTTGTGATTATCATTGCTTTGTGTACTTGTTGCAACATAAAGCATTCTTGGTCTACTTTAACTAAAAGTACTTTGGTTAAAGTTTGAAATTTTCTCTAAACTTTGTCCTGTGGTACCCTTCTTGCTCACTCACTGACTGACACTCCTGTTCACATTGTGATCATAGTGTGTTTTAAATCTTTTAAATCGAATTGCAATGGTTAGTAAGATTTATAAATGTGGACAAATAAACTGCTTGTTCCCCGTTGAGGAAGGAATGCAGTGCGGTGAATGTAAAAAGTGGTACCATAAGATGTGAACACGTCTAAGTCCTACGGCATACAAAATATGCTCGAAGCTTAACTCGCATTGGCTTTGTATGTTTTGCTGTACAAATAAAAAGTTACTAATCCAGGAGGTTACGAGCCTATTGGCTTTGGCCTGTAAGAAAAACAATGGAAGTTATCCTGACACCACGAGCACTGACAGTGACGAGTGTGTCAGTGTAGTAATTGTCGCTACCGGACCCGTTAAACACCCAATTGTGATTGACGGAAAAGTAAAATCTGCGTTTACATTAATGAGGAGTCAAGTGCCGTTTGATATTGACATTGGAAATCATGCACCTTTAGTGCAAATTGAAGACCCAGATAAATCTGTCATCGTTCCAAATAGTCCCAGTGTGACTGTCTTGAGTGAGGATAAATGGAGTTCAGCACGGAGAAAATAAAATGAGAAGAACAAAGCTGTAGGCAAACCGCAACTGGTTAGCAAGTCATTGGAAGAGACGGTATCAGAAACAAAAATTCCACTACGTGTCAAGACAGGTCTCTCCGAGAGGTCAGTTATTTTTCATAAGTTAAGAGAATCTTCCGATAAGGAATCAAAGGCTAGATTTGAACACGACTTCAGTCACATTAAGTCCTTAATAAGCAAACTACTCCCAGATAGTTTTAGGAGTTAGCATTTGTAAGCCTCATAGAACAGGACGAAAGGTGGATTCTTAAAGCCCTCAGAAAAACCACCTCTTGAAGGTTATATTTGCCACGGTTGAAGAAATGAACCTGATTCTAGGTAGCTCACGTACACTGATTGGATCCGGAATATATTTCGTGAGGATCTCAACCTGGTCGAATTGTAAAAGTTTGGAGCAAAACGATCCTCAAACCACTCTGGGTGATAAGGGAAAGTTCCCCACAGACTTAAAGGTATGCTACACAAATGCTAACAGCCCACTAAATAAAATGGCGGAGCTTAAGTCAATGGTGGATAAAGAAAAACTGGATGTTATTACTGTCTCAGAAACTTGGCTAACGCCGGAAGTATTAGATAATGAAATTCACTTGAATGGTTTTTATCCAATAGGGCTGATATATAAAATCATAGGGGATAAGGGGTTATCCTGTACACGAAAAGTACCCTAATCATAAAAGTAGCTGAGACAGTGGCAAATGTTTCAGGGACATGTGAATTGGTGCGATGTAGACTGAAATGTAGACGGCAAGATATTGAATTAGTTGTAGTATATCGCAGTCCAGAATGTGTGTTAGATGATTTTCTCCCAAGTAAACTTAAGTCCTGGTGTAACAAGGGTAAAAGCCTTATAGTAGGCGACTCTAATGCACCGTACATAAACTGGGTTAACTTGGAGGTAGGGTCATCGATATCATCGTTCGATTGCAAACTGTTAGACACCTCGATTGTATTAGCTTTATTCCAACACATTAGAACTCCCACACGATATGACTTAAGAAATTCTTCTTCTCTTTTAGATTTAGTCTTTACACACGGTGATGACGTTGGTTAAATGACTTTCCTCCCACCACTAGGGAGAAGTGACCATACAGTCATCTTATTCAAACTCGTGGCTGAGATCGCTTGTCAAACAGTTGGGCCGGCCCGTCCTAACACATGAAAGGCAGATATGGAGGCCATCAACTCCGCAGCATCGGCTGAAAACTGGGAAATTGACTCAAGGGCATCAGTACAAAGAGCATGGACGCATTTCAGGCAGTTGTGCAGTCGGATAACGCAACCATAAATACCCTGGACTGTTCCAAAGAAGAAGAAGCACGACCATCCCTGGATAGACCGGGATATTCGACGTTCGCTAAGACAAAAGAAGAAATATTGAGATGTTGCCAAGCGTCTTGGCACATCAGGTACGGTGGAACGCTACAGGTTGTAAGAAACAAGTGTGTAACGAAAACTCGGGAAGCCCGAAGAAAATAAAAAAGCAGTTGGCACAATCTGCACTCGAGCAGCCCAAGAGAATAATCTCGTACATAAACTACAGAACAAGGATGTATCATTGGATACCCAACCTAATTAAAGGAGGGAGTGAATCTGAAATGACGGAGGAAGATCAGGAAAAGCAGAGGTTATGGCTGACTATTTGGGGGCAGTTTTCACTCAGAAACCTGCTTTGGACAAAGAACCAGACCAAAATAAACAGTCAATAAACCACCTGCTCACCGTGAACTTTGATCAAGACGATGTGCTTAAGGCTCTTAGCACCTTAAACATGGAAAAGTCGACAGGACCAGATGAACTACATCCCAAAATCTTGAGACATATTGCACAATATATCGCGGCCCCACTGACTGTGATATTCAATGTGTCACTTAATCAAGGTGTGTTACCTATGGGCTGGAAGGATGCAATCGTCACTCCCACACATAAAACATGACCAAGATAAGTTCCATCGAACTACGGACCAGTAATGCTTTTGATAAAGTGCCAACAAACAGACTGCTATCGAAGTTGGAAAACCTTGGTATTGCTGGATCTCTCTTAAAATGGATTAGGGATTTCCTAGTAGGTCGTAGACAGAAGGTAAGAATAAATTCCAAGTGCTCCATCTAGAGACCAGTACTTAGTGGAGTACCTCAAGGTTCGTCCTAGGTCCTTTACTTTTTATAATGTATGCCAATGATCTTCGAAGTATAGTACAGACTCCAATGTTATTATACACTGACGATGTAAAGATCTGGCGAGTAAAAACTGGAGACACAGACTCATATGATCTTCGGACAGACTTAAATAATATAATTAACTGGTCTAAAGAGTGGCTGATGCCTATCAATGCGGCAAAGTGTGGCTACATGCACTTTGGGGACTCAAATGTTAATGGGTATAACATAGGGGAAGTGCCATTACCAGTAGTTCGGTCTCATAAGGATTTGGGGGTGACAGTAAGTCAGGATCTTAAGACGATGGCTCATTGCCGGGAGGTCACAGCTAAGGGGTTTCGAACCCTCTGGGCATTAAAACGGGCATTCACTTAGCTAGATACTATCATGTTCACCAAAGCATACACGTTCTTAGTGAGAACTAAGCTTAGGAACTGCGTTCCGGCCTGAAGCCCGTGTTTAAAAGGTGACTCGGATATCCTAGAAAAAGTAGAGAGGGCAGCTACCCGTGCAATTCCAGAACTCCGGGGTTCACCATGCAAAGAGCGGCTTGAAAAGCTAGATTTCTTTACCCCGTCCTATCGCAGAATAAGGGGAGATCTAATTTTGATGTACACAATACTGAGAAATGATTTTGGACCTAACTTATTCTCTCTCTTTC